AACCAATCGGGGTGCACATCACGATCATCAACACGAAAATGATTTCCTTCTGCTTGTGAAACATGACTGAGATCTCAGGGGCGTAGCTCGACTCAAGGCTTCGAAGGAATCTTCTTGTACCTTCATACCATCTTTTCACCTCAATCTTCAAATTCGTGATGTCGAAGTTTCTTGATGCTTCAAATCCTGCGATCATGTACTTCACAATCTCGAGGTTGTAGTTTTCTTCGTTGTCTTGATCTTCATAGCGTATTGGGGCTTCTTTGGTTTGACGACGCTGCAAACTGAAGGACATGAGCTCCACATGTTCTGTCTCTTCTCTCTCTCTTCTCACATGCACATTCTTGCTGCTTTCACCAAGTGCATGAGTCGCATGCTGCACCTCGGCATGCTCATCCTCCAAGGCAATAGTCTTCAGGTCATCCTGGAGGGAAATCGAATTCCTGGGCAGCGGCTTTGACATAACGAGCTCTGCTACATCTAGCAATATCTCTGTACTGCTTCTTGCTGCCTTTGCTTTCACATTCTTGATCATCAACAACCAACCTTCTGCTGTAACGAGCCCTGCACAAAGTAGAAGAACTGCACTGCAAAGGACTCTCATCCAGAAACCACATCCAGTCATCTGGGTAAACCTCCTTCTCTTTACTTCTGTCTGCCCTTGAATGTAAACATAGCCATCTGGAAAGCAAACTCTACATCCAGGTGCACGTACGACTTGCGCCTGATCCGCACTGTCCAGGCCACGGCATTCTCGATGCTTGTGCACTGCTGTTCTTGACAGTGCAATGTAAACATCAGGCATGAACTCTTCATGGGCGACAGTCTCGATCTCTCGCTCTTCAGTTGCAATCTCTCGCAAGAACGACCACGCCATTCCTGCTAAAATGCTGCTCATGAAAACCAGCACTGCAAACAGGAACAATTCCTGCTGCCATCTTCCTGAACTCAAAGCGTCCAGGGCACCACTGCTTGCTGCAACTGTCTGCTCTGCCATATGCTGAAGGTTCTGGAGGTTGCTGGCACACACTTCTCGCACAGACATGAAAACCATCATGCTCCATGGAAAAATCTTCGTCCATCCAGCTTGCTGTAGCATCATCGCACCCTGACTCAGGTGCTCCGCTACCATGTTGAAAAACGTGGTAAACATCATGGCTCACTTTTCCTACCACGCTCTAAAGGCAAAACAACTTTTCTCGCTTTCGACTCTTGAGCCTAAGCCTCCGGTGTCAAACTCGTTCTGCTCAGACTCAACATGCCTTAGGGCATTTGGTGTCTTTCCTACTGCACCCATTCACTGTACCTGGATACATGCTGTACACTTAACACTTTGGCTACTCTTGGATAGCCCCACTCGCTGATCACCATCAGTTAAGAAGATTCAGTACGAAGGCATTTTCTCTCTATTCGGGCTTTCAAAAAGCATCCAGGCTCTTGGCCAATGGACTTCAAAGACATGAGCGCATGATGTCCGCAACTTTGAGCCCGAAACCCTAAACCCTCAAGCAAAAAAGTGAACAGACATTGGGTGTGATATCTTTACTTGTGAGTTTGAAAGAGCTGACAAGCCGAGCTGAAGAAAATTGATCCAGAGCGCCTCTCCCCTCCCTTCAGCACTTCAGCACTTATTCATCACAAAAGAACGCTCGAACCTCACAAGAATACAGAGCCAAAGATCTGAAGAATACAAAGCCAAAAGGAAAAACCTACGCCCAAGGCCCACTGAAAAATATCGCTCAAAACTTTCGCCCAACACCCGCCCAAAATTCCGGGCGCGAACCCTATGCAATTTCTGCACCCTAAAGAACGTTTGAGCCTGAGCTCAACAATATTCGTTTGAGCAAACAAGCCACCCAGAATACTTGAGCCACAACTTAGTTTGGGTCGGAAGTTAAACTGGTGCGAAAGGAGTATGTGTATATTTGTTTATTTACAAAACTACGCGCGTTAACTGGACCCTTACCTTACCCGAACCCCAAACCCTACACAGAGGTTTCCAGATAGACAGGCGAAAGATAGAAAGACGACGTGAGAAGCGAAGCGTGCGCTGTTATTGCGCGACGCCCCGCCCGAGGCAGCATCAACCTTAGTCGAAATAATGTAAGCTGAGGCTTCTGGAAAACCTAAACCCTAAACCGCAAAATCTACAAAATAAGCCGTTAAATCCTAAGCCTTAACTAGCCTAACCCTATAAAGGACAGCCTCAGACTGCAGAACGAGCCTTGCGCCCGGAAGCTTGGGGGACAGACCAGCAACAATGGGCCACTCGGCGATGAACGGAGCCGGCGTCAGCAAAAACAACGCGTGCGTCACGCAGGGGCGCGTTAGCGCCGAGCATCCTTCGCGAAGAATTTTCCGACGAGCAGAGCCCGCCTTCGAATGGGCTTCTCTTTTTCCTGGCCCCGGAATGTCTTTTTTCCGACCCTGCGACCCCTTTCAACCCCGGAAAGTCTTTTTCTTGGCCTCGGTCTTTTTCCCGGCCTCGTTACGGGGCCCAAAAAAAAAAAAAGGTCTTTTTGACGACCCTGTTCGCAGCCGTCAAAGAAGGAACGACCGTCTTTTTCTCAACCCCGCAGCGTCTTGTGACCGACCCCGCTTCTTTTTCCGGACCCCGGAATGTCTTTTTTTCAGCCTTTGCCGAACACACAGAGCTTCAAAAAGGAGGTGTAAAATGTTGCTGTAGCATTGCAAGCGAACAGGTGCAGTTCACAACTCTAAACTCCAAACCCTAAATCCCAAAACCCTAAACTCTGAATCTCTAAACCCCAAACTTTAAAACCTTAACCCCCAAAAGCTCCAAACGCTAAAGTTAAAGTTCGACCTAAACCCGAAATTGAGAACTAGGGGCTGGTTCCCTGGACAGGTAGGGGGGGCCGGCTTGTGATACAAGCACAGTCCCCCCAACCCCTGCTCATCTGCGAAATCTATCATACAAGCAGGGTCCGCCCAACCGCCCTGCTTATCTGGAAACTTGTCAAACAAGCACAGCCCCTCTGCCTCTTGCGAAACCCGTCCCCCTACCTGTCACACAAGCACAGGCACCCCAGCCCCGCTGCTTATCTGCAACGCCTGTGAAACCTCTCATACAAGCACAGCCCCCTCAACCCCCAACCTGCCCCTCTGCCTATTTGGAAACCCGTCCCCCTATACCTGTCACACAAGCACAGTCCTCTCAATTCCCTTGCTTATCTGCAACGCCTGTGAAACTTCTCATGCAAGCACAGTCCCCTCAAGCCCCCTGCTTATCTGCAAAACCTATCGCACTGCTTATCTGCGAAACCCGTCCCCCTACTTGTCACACAAGCACAGTCCTCTCAAGTCCCCTGCATATCTGCAACGCCTGTGAAACCTCTCATACAAGCACAGTCCCCTCAAGCCCCTTGCTTATCTGCAAAACCTGTCGCACTGCTTATCTGCGAAACCCGTCCCCCTACCTGTCACACAAGCACAGTCCTCTCAATTCCATTGCTTATCTGCAACGCTTGCGAAACTTCTCATACAAGCACAGTCCCCTCAACCCCCCTGCTTAGCTGCAAAACCTGTCACACTGCTGATCTGCGAAACCCGTCCCCCTACCTGTCACACAAGCACAGTCCCCGCAAGTCCGCTGCTTATCTGCAACGCCTGTGAAACCTCTCATACAAGCACAGCCCCCTCAACCCCCCTGCTTATCTGCAAAACCTGTCGCACTGCTTATCTGCGAAACCCGTCCCCCTACGTATCACACAAGCACAGTCCTCTCAAGTCCGCTGCTTATCTGCAACGCCTGTGAAACTTCTCATACAAGCACAGTCCCCTCAACCCCCCTGCTTATCTGCAAAACCTGTCGCACTGCTTATCTGCGAAACCCGTCCCCCTACGTATCACACAAGCACAGTCCTCTCAAGTCCGCTGCTTATCTGCAACGCCTGTGAAACCTCTCATACAAGCACAGCCCCCTCAACCCCCCTGCTTATCTGTAAAACCTGTCGCACTGCTTATCTGCGAAACCCGTCCCCCTACCTGTCCCACAAGCACAGTCCCCCCAACCCCCCTGCTTATCTGCAACGCCCCACGCCACATTCACTCACTTTAGACTCTTTAGAGGCGGCATCTTTTCGCACACTATGTTTGCAAGCGGGGGGGGCTGCGCGCCCCCCCCAGACCCCCCCCCCCTTGAAGGGGGGCTTCAGGCTTCAACAAAGCTTCAAGGGGCTTTTGTTTTTATTTGAGGTTTGGGGTTCAGGGTTTAGGTTTAAGGTAAATATAACTTCTCCGCTACGACAACAAGAAACAAGGAGTTGAATTTAAAATGATTTTCTTCACTTCTCTGCCAAGGGGGTGAAATTTAGAACAATTTTCACCTCTTTGCCATGACAACCAGAAACAAGGGTGTGAAATTTACAAAAATCTCTGCCATGACAACAAGAAACAAACGGGTAAAATTAGAATAATTGTCACTTCTCTGCCATGTCCTATAACTCCAATTCTCGAAGACTGAAACCCTTAAGCAAAAAGAGGGCGGGTGGAATTTAGAAGAACTACTACTACTACTGCTACTGCTACTGCTACTGCTGCTGCTGCTACTGCTGCTACTGCTACTGCTACTGCTACTGCTACTGCTACTGCTACTGCTACCGCTACCGCTACTGCTACTGCTACTGCTACTGCTACTGCTACTGCAACTGCTACTGCTACTGCTACTGCTACTGCGACTGCTACTGCGACTGCGACTGCGACTGCGACTGCGACTGCGACTGCTACTGCTACTGCTACTGCTACTGCTACTGCTACTGCTACTGCTACTGCTACTGCTACTGCTACTGCTACTGCTATACTGCTACTGCTACTGCTACTGCTACTGCTACTGCTACTGCTACTGCTACTGCTACTGCTACTGCTGCTGCTGCTGCTGCTGCTACTGCTACTGCTACTGCTACGACGACGACTAAGAAACCGCATGTTTGCAAATGCAAACACTGCTGCTTTTCTCAAGCAAGAGTCAAGAGTCTCTGCGCTCAGACGTCCGGCTGCTTTGAAATCGCGACGGCCGTGCGTACCCACGTGCCTCGATCCCGCCGCCAGCCAATCGAAAAAGAAGCCAGATCACCACGCACAATGGCTTCGGAGCTGTCTATGATTCCGCTAAGACCGAGTAGGGGCCCATCTTTGTCCAGACGAAACTCTATCAAGACCAAGAAAGCGGCCCCGTTGGAAACTGGGATGACTTTCTGCACCCGCCCTTCAGTGCGCTCATAGGGGCCGACGTCCTACAAGGAAAGGTTTCGAAGGCAAACAACAGCAAACACACGCGACACACTCGAGTCACTTGAGCAAACGACGAACCTCAATATTGCGAGGTTCTGGGTGTCCTGCCGGACAGAACAAACCCGCTCTTGCAGATATGAGAGCGGACGCACGAAGCCTTCCAGACGTGCAACAGCACGGCTGACATGAGCCAAGAGCGCTTCTTCGGTACACGGGGATGGTTGGAAGTCCTGAAGGCGCAGAAAAAGCAGAGAATAATGTCAATCTGTCAAGAAGCAGAAATCCAGCCGGAGAGCAGCTGTCACGACACCCGGCAGTGTCTGCGCAAGTTTTCCAAAAAACCATCCCTCGGGAAGAGCTCGGCAAAGAGACGCATCCAGGTGCGCTGCACGTACATCCTCCCACTTGGCCTTTTAGCACGCGAGGGCGCCGCACCAGCCCCTTACCATGACCGTGAAACGCACAGGTGTCACATACTATGTCACTACTGCGGCACATCACATCTGAGAACGAAATTAAGTCCACTGCCTTGACCATCTGCAAGAGGTGCGTTTGCATCTCCACCGTCGCAGCATGCGTCTGAACGGTCCTGGAAGATGCACACAGTGGAGAACGCACGAGAAGGAGAAGGTGCTAGACTCACAAGAATGCGCACATTTAGCCGTGAAAAGTTGCCTGCAAAAAGCTTGCAGACGAACATGCCACTCGTGCAGGAGCGCCAGCAAGGCCACCCGGAAGGTGGTATAGGCCGCTTCCGCTGCCGGAAGCCAGTTCTACCAAAAGCAATAGGTTCCTACGACTCAAGTAAACGTAAAAAAACTGACTAGCAGCAAGCGCCCGCCTGGACCTCGACCTTGCTTGCCGAGCTGCCTAATCCACGTCCAATTGCACCAACGTCAGCAGGACATAAAGCCAAGGCCGCGACGTGAAGCTTCGGGCGGCACTCCTCCCATAACCCGACCGTTGCTTCGCGCAGAGGCGGCAGGTTGCTGGGCACGTTGCCAGCCACTTCGACCGCCACGCCTGGCCACTGTTCAAGCAGGCACATCCTAAGAACGAATGAGAACGCCTTGTCTTGGTGTGCTTGGAGACGCGTGTCCCAGCCATGAAGCTACGTTAGCAACGAGCAAAGAAACCAGAAAGCACGCAACCGAAAGCTGCAGGCAACAACCCATGCTCATTGTGCACGGCGCGCAACTGGCTTCAATGCTGCTGCTAGGCACACACAGGCACACCGCGTGGCAATGGCACACAGCTTTTGTCATTTCGCATGGCATCTCACAGCTACACCTCTGTCGTGTCCGACGGAGCGAGACATCCAGCGCCAATGTGCTGAGCGCGGTCACTTCAACTCAGGATACACTTTACGTGGCTTCCGAACCTTTTTCGGAGCTGGTTTGGGCTGAGCTTTGCCCATGGCCTGCCTCACACGGGCGCCGGGAGGGCGGCCACGAGGCTTGCTGATACGCACATTCTCCAAGCCGAGATCGGCCTTACGGTGCGAGAACGTCAGCCCACGACAAAGCAGGATGTGCTCGCAGCCGCCCCACAGAGCATAAGGCAAACACGTGCAAGATAGCCGCGCAGGCTCAACGGTCACGTAAGCGATATTGTCAAAGAGCTTCTTGCACGGACCATATTGAAACTCCCACTCCGAAGCTGCCCCTGCACAGCGCAGGACACCAGCCTCTTGCAAAAAATGCTTCACCTGGTGAGGCGAGCAGACTAGAAGCTGCACACCAAGCTGCGCCATGTCCTCAGCGAGTACGGGAGCATAACAAAACATACGAACTGCGACAACGGACAGAGCATCCGTTTCAATGTCGTAAATATGGAAGGAAGGGCTGAGCTCAGAGTGGCTACGAAACAGCTCCGTCGCGGCGGAACGGTGAACGGCACTGAGAGTCTGCACACCGTGCAGATGTGTGGGATCAACATCCACGCTTTGCAAGTGCAGCGCAGTGTCGGAGTTCCAATCAAAGGAGTCTAACCAATGGTCAGCATACAGGTTTTGCATTACTCCAAGGACTTCACCCAACGGTGCACGCCCACCCACGGACTCGAGTTTCGACTGCCATGCACTGTGAATGGCTTCTGCAGGGTTACTGCCGCAGCCAGTGCCCGAAACAATGCCCCGACATCCGACCCACCAACCTGCAAACCGATGATGTGGCAAGTATTCGTGCTCGTGGCGCAAGAGAGCCTGTGGCACTGCAGCGGTGTACGTGTTGTCCAAGTACGCAGCCACAGTGCATTCGCCCATGGATGTGAGACGGGCTAGCAGTCCTCGCCAGCAGGCGTCAAAGACGGAGGCGCGAGGTAGAAGCCGCAGGGATCCTAAAACGGCTTGCAGCCACCCAAGATGAGCCTTCTGAAATCTGCCTGCTACCAACGCAGTGTGCGACAAACGACTGTCGAGCTCAAGGTGCTTCTGCCTAAAGTGATAATAGTCATCACACGGGCGACTGCAAGGGAAACAGGCTTTACGCGCAGACTCTAAGCCTGGCGCAAAATCTTTGTGGACTTGCACCACATGGTCCCGCAGTGGCACGCAATGCGTTGCATGCGTATCCCACACAGTACACAGAAGGTTGAAGAAGGATGAGATGACTTCATGCGACTCGGAGCCCACAATGGCCTGCAGGAGAGGAAAGGGTCGTGACGCGCAGGCCTTGCCCTGTTTGCGACCTTCTCCCAACCGGGTGTTCCGCAGGCCTGTCTTGGTGAGCAAACTTGCAGTTGCAATGCCTCGACCACGCTCCAGAACTTTCATTTTGACATCCACAACCAAGCACACCTCGGAACCGCACCACCGCTTCATGACTTGCGACATACCTTGGCAAGCAAACGGCACAAATATCTCCAGCGGGTCCAAGCGAATGTGATCTGCGAATGTATACAAGTCCGTCACGGCTTCAGGCACCCGGTTCCACTGTGAGAGCCTACAGCCAAGAGTTGCAGCGCGGTTTCGGTCGATGGGCTGTGGCTTCGCACTGTCTGCGTCCCGTCTGCTTTGCACGTTGCAGCCAATTCGTCAGCTGACGTTTATCAGGCAGCCGACCTCCTCGGCACTCGTCCTGCAACTTGCGCAGCAGAAGCTTGGGACAGCGGCCACCGGCGCGCAAGAAAGTTTGAGCAACACTGTCTTGCTCGGGGGTGAAAATCTTTCCGCTTCGAGCGCACCCGTCGTGGGTACTGTGATCTCCCACGGCCGTCAGCAACAGGGTCCCCGCTTTGTACCCGGCAGGCTGGCGGAAGTACGTGGCATGAACTTTGTAAGGACAAGCAGCCCCTTCCAAGCAATGCACCTGGAAGGTGTACTTGGTATCATCAAAGTGTGCGAACTTGACCATACAATGTCCTTTGCATCTGACCTACCGAACCACTGCTTTGTGGGTGTGATTTGGGCGCAGCACGAAGACTCAATCCACCTAGTTCAGCGCAGACTCTTTGGCAGACATTCTTCAATGGGGATTCTTGGTCATACTGCAGAATGCCACAAGTCCTTCCGCACTCGTAGATGAATTTCTTCAATTCGGCTACTGCATAGTTGTTCTCACCTTTTGAGGGAACAATCACAGCCATGCCTAAACCAGTCTGAACATCACAAGCTGACAAGATCTTTCTCAATGGGAGATCTGGATGTGTAGCTTGGAAGCAATAGTCAACCTGAATCACAGGCTGCCTATCTGACTGTTTCTTTGCAGGACCATGACGACCTTTTGATTTGACACAATGAGGACACCAATCTCTGAAAGGCAAATGTGTCAATTCATGTTGGGCTCTTTCTGAGGCTGAGGGTTCACCAGGAACCTTCAATCCTTTGGCAACTCTAGCATGCTTGTCATCAGTGTCCTGAATGGGCCTTCCTACCTCAATCGGCACCGAAGCGAAGACAACAAAGCCTCTCCAAACATGATACAATTCTCGCCCAGGATCTTCTTTTGGTTCCGTTTCAACACCATCAGGATCAAGCATGGTGCACCACAGGTCTTCAATCTCTGATCCATTCAACTCAGGGAACTGCGATTCCACAATGTATGTGTAACGCTCAGCAGTAAGCAAATCACCTAGGCTCTGTTCAGTAATTGAGGAAGGCTCATCATCCGGATGCACAGTGTCTGTACGTTTCTGATGAACCATGCGAACCCAATAGTTCGGTAACTGAAGCCAATAGTCGGTGGTTCGCTCTTTGCTTGTAGCCGAATCGAGAGTGTGATAGAGCCGCACCAAATCTTCACGCATTTTCGCATTGAACTCGCCAATCGAGCGAAGTCTTGTGAGAATAGCAATCTCGCTATCTCTAAGCTGCGGCTCTCCGCGAGACACTTGTTCCAATGTCGCAGGGGCAGGACGAGTCGCGGATTGCGGTTTCTCCGGCTGTTTCGAGACAATGCGAACTTTCTTTGATGCTTTCTCGGTCCCTCGGCTCGGAACACTCTCGCGGGGCGAAGAAGGCAATGCATCTTGCGGACGCGTGCGTTCGCGCGTGCGTTTCGCGCCGGCTTCTAGCTGTCCGCTAGCCGGATACAATGCACACTCAGTGGTGCCCGTCCAATCACCAGACAATGCAGCATCCGGATCCTCAAGAGATCTCCAATCTGCATCGCGATAGACCTGCTCGGTACCATCCTTATACCGCACCTTAGTGACGCGTGCGCCAGTCAATCTGGCCTCTGCAACAGGCAATGAGCTACGAAGACGAGTCAATCCGAACATAGCTCGTCTTGTTTTCACATGATGCCTGATCAGGAGGCAGTTTGGATCATCAATTTCCCAATAATCCATGTTCTTTGTTGCTTTTCGTTTGGCTGCAACAGTTCTGGCGAACGCTGGTTTGGATCTTGTTCTAGCTTGTGCCATCGCAACCAATGAAGAAATCTTTGAAAGATGATCATACTCACAATGAGTGGAATCAGTGATGCCTCTCAACTCAAGATCAATGGCCTCAAGCTCGAGGTCATCCATGAGGCTGCTGATTTCCAATTCAGTTCGGGGGCCTGAATAGGCTGAGTAGGGAATGACAGTAGGGGTGAGATACACCAAGGTGCCTTGCCGAACAATAGGCACGGTTTGGTTTGACGGTGTCATCAATGCCATGAAATCTTTTGCCACGATTGTCCAAAAATCTTGAAGCAAGAATCTAGACACACTGACCAAGGGGAAAGGAATGTGCTCACAAACATAGAACTGCACGCACAATGAGTGGCCGTTGCAGTCAAGTTCAACAATACGCTTCCCCAGGATGGACAATGTCTTGCCTGAGATGCTTCTAAGCGCCGGGCAATCACTGCCTACTGGGTGCAATGGATAGTCCGATGCGAACCAAGGTGGACAGCAATTTGCTGATGCACCAGAATCGAACAAAATCCAACTGCTGTCGACAATGCCTGACTGTATGTGGAAATCAGACAAGCGATCAATCCCAATGCCAGTCGGGTTCGGCACTAGCTCACTCTGACCTTCAATGCTTGACTCACTGCTACTATCATCATGTGGATTGTGACTGCCAATCATTCTGTCGACAATCACATCATCTGCACTACGAGGATGTGGAGGAACAGAGGCTGACAATGTTCCAATCAGCATCAAAGCTCCTACGAACAATCTACTTGTAAGGCTGGGTCTCACAGGCCTGGGGGCTGCACTAGACCTTCTGGGGCTCTCAAGCAATGGATTGTTCGAAGCAAGTTGAGGAGTCAATGATTCTCTCTCTTCACTCCGCTCTGTGCTCTCAATGGTGACTGCTGCTGCAGTCTCTTGGGTCGCCAATGGTGGCGAGCCTGTGTTGGGTACCTCTCTGCTCAATGCGCTGCCAGTGGCTCTTTTCTGGAGGGCTTGGGCAGCAGTGTAAGAGGCGTAATACTTCCTGGCCCTTCTGTGGAGGGTTTTAGGCAGCATTTTAAGAGACAAACAAAAGCATTTGAATCCACTCAAACCCATGACGCGAGCAACGTGTTTGCCCCAACCCCCGGGCTTTTTTACGCAACCCTCCCACTTTTTTAAGCCGGGCAAGTTTGCGTGGAGGCATATGAATCATCTCCGAAACAAAACAAAACTTATCGCTTGTGCCAAAATGGTTTGAACCCAAAAGCACAGTCCGAACCTAAGGCACACGAAAGCCCAAACCCTTGCAAGCTCCAGGCTTCCATCTTTTCATCGGTGGGCGAATCAAGGATCATTTTTGAAAGGCCGATGCACATGGTTTTTAGTGCACACGCCAAGCAGAAGGGTGGGCCGGGTGGGACAAATTTTCGCACGGTGCAATGAGCCAGTGCTGCACTTCAAGGAACACACACATAGTTGCATAAAACTCATAATGTTGCATTTACACAGCCAAGCATGTTGCACGCCAAGACAAGTCACATGCTGCAGTCCGTCTCTAAATCTTTGCATTCGCTGACCGCGGAGACATGCAGAACATGCACAGGCAGGTGTCGGGCGTGTAAAATTCAAAGCATCAAAATTAACTTTTGGTTTCAAACCGTGCACAAACGGCACACCGTTTTTCCCCGGGCATTGTTGGAAGCAAGCGATAAAACACAATTCGCTCGCGAACAGTAAGCTTATCGCTTGTGCCAAAATGGTTTGAACCCAAAAGCACAGTCCGAACCTAAGGCACACGCAAGCCCAAACCCTTGCAAGCTCCAGGCTTCCATCTTTTCATCGGTGGGCGAATCAAGGATCATTTTTGAAAGGCCGATGCACATGGTTTTTAGTGCATACGCCAAGCAGAAGGCGTGCGTATCACTATCTACACAACTACCTCAGGAAACCCCCCAATTTAACCGAACAAATATGGTGGGCACCGTCGAGGGTAAGGCAGCTTGGAGCACAGGCTCCACGCATCCACCACCCCAAAACAGTGAGTTGCGAGTCAACGAGGTATCCCACTCTCTTACGCCTCCAAGCCACATGTAATGTAGGACCGGGCACACCGGGATAGCAGTACGGCCCAATAATCACCCGGGGCGAACTTTTCTTACAGCGTGGTCTTACTATAGAACCACGTAATGCGCGCCTACTCTGGCCATTCCATGTCATATTGGGTACATACTCGACCACCCGCGTTGAAAGCGAAGGGGGGGGAGAGGCACAGCTGTGTTCTTCCCCCCCCCTCCGCGCGTCCAAGTTGCTTGCTTCACAGCTGGTCACAACTTCATCAGATGGAGGACCCCACGCGCTGGTGCAAAAGGGGGGGGGGCACCTTCTGAGCTGTGTCCAAGGCATACGGCACCCGGCAGCGGTAGACGCCCGTCCAGGGAGCACACACTGTTTATCCATCGCCCCAGAGGCTCACTCACCAAGGGCGATCGGGCGTTGACAGGACAGCAGGCGACCTGAGTGCAGACTTAGCCCTGCCCGCCCGTCCTGCGGCACGCAGGCAGCAAGGTACTCCCGCGTGACAAGACCTAAATGTTCATTCGAGGTTGGGCCCAGGATTTCCCTTTTCAAAGGTGGGACCTGTCTATGTCCTCTGGCTGCCACCACGTGCGCCAGAACATTCATGCTGCCCATGTCCCAGACCACATCACTCGATTTATTGACTCCAGCAGCGTGCGGGTCCCAAGTCCTAGATGGGGGACGCTTTGTCGGGTAACGGGCCCAACACCAAGGTTGCCCAGGCAAGTGAAAGCCAGAAAGAGCCCAACACGTTTAAGACGTGTCAACAATCTCAAAGCATGGGTCCTCGTGCACGACAAGCCAAGGAATCACTCTGGGGCCAAGCATGACCCACAACATCCACTCCTGCATTGGCACACCGGGATTCGCGGCGTGGTGATAACGACAGAACGACCCCGTGACATCATGCAGGGCATACCGCATTCCAACTTCCACAGGGTCTCACTCTCACGCCCCGGCCTTCCGCGCATGGGAGAGGGACAGAGGGCGATGGATGACCGAGCTGAGTACATGCCAGTCGTTTGGTCACGTAAACCAGCCGAACCAAAACGCTAAGAAGCACGACCAGACAACGGTAACCAGGCACTTGGACAAATGGACATTTGGACAAGTGGACCCGAAAAGCGCCAACCGCTTATCGAGGACCAGGGATAGCACGCCCGGCGTCAGGCCCACTAGGCCCTGCGGTACAATTCGGCTGAGGGGAAAAGAGCCATGCGTCAGGTCGGGAGACTTTGCGCGCACATCCAGACCCTAAAGGCTTAAATGGTCGGGCGCCCAGGTCGTCAGGAGACACCAAAGGCTGAACTGTTCAGGCGCCCAGATCGTCAGGAGACCCAGCGACCACCCACTAAACAGTGCTTGAAACTCCAGGCACTCCCGGCGACCACCCACCAAACAGTGCTTAAAACTCCAGGCACTCCGGTAAGGCACACTTTCAGCCGCCGAACACGTTGACAGTGAAACAGCATCGACCTCACAAGTTGAAAGGGACCTGCGTCACGCCACCGCATACGTTACACACACCAGGCACTCCGGTAGGGCACACTTTCAGCCGCCGAACCCGATGACAGAGAAACAGCATCAACCTCACAAGTTGACAGGGACCTGCGTCACGCCACCGCATACGTTACACACACCACACTAAAAACACCTCCCCTACCTCCCCCACTTAACCGCACACCAGGCAACATTGAATCACGGCCCAAGGGGGCCAGGGGAGGAAGTCGGAAATACAGGGAGGCATGCCGGCAGAGCGCGTCGCATGGTGACGGGCCTTGGCATGCAGTGGGGAATTGTACAGACCCCACGCGGTCATGTGTACCGCTCGAGCGCACGGCGCACTCCGTCTTCCTTGCTTGGCTTGGCGGCAGCGTGCGACAAGGCCATGGAGATTGGGTAGCTTACAAGTGCCGAGGTCAACGCATCTGCCATTGGGAGGGCTACCAGCTGAAGGTTTGTAGCTCAGTGGCTAGCTTCAGCTCGAGCAGACGGACAGAGAATGGTCAAGGAACCGTCGTCGAATGCACAACAGGGCAACCAACTGCCATCACAAATGCTGGGAGTGCTGCAGTGCCACATTGACTGCGTACGCCCACAACACGGAGCACACTGTCTTGCACACGACAGGCGCGGGCTCACCTGGCGACGGGGGGCAAGACGATGTATGAATGGGCACACTACTGGACCAAGGGGACCCAGTGCGCGCTGGTAACCGCCTTCAAAGGCCAACAGAGCAACCAAGCTGCCATCCCAACTGCTGGGAGTGATGCGTCGCCACAGGGACCGCATACGTAAACAACACGCGGCACACTGCCTTGCACGGCGACAGACCGGGGCTCGCCTGTATACGGGGTGCAAAACGTGCATGAAGGTGGTGCATCAGCCGGGAAGGGCACACCGAATAAAGCGGGGAGCTGGTGCGCGCTGGCGAGAGAAACCAGGGCCACCAAACCAGCGTAATCAGTCCAGAACGACTGCGGAGTATTGTGGTCTTGAGAATTTTCCTGATACTTTCAGACGCCTGCCGGGATCACAACATACTGCACTGGAGATCACAACACAACATGACTTCACTACCAAAACACATGTGGCCCAACATGTAAAACGGGTGCACCAAAATGTGCCCATGTAGCTATGTACCAACTTTTGCACCCCGCCAAAGTGAGTGCAGGATTTGATGCAGTCCAACTGCTCAGCTCAAAGCTTGCATGAACTTTCCAAAAGTCCTACTGTGGCCACATGCAATCCCTGTACACTGATCTCCACTCGCGCAGCATGCATCCCAGCAGCTTTCATCTGTTCTGTGTCCATTGTGCGTATGCCCCCTTATCGGGCAAACGATGTGAAACGCAACTGCCTGCTAACCTTGTACCTTTGGCACCTCCAAGGTTTCAAGCACAGTGCAATCATCTGTGATCCAGACCGATCACATTGCACTACGAAGATTGGTGGCCCTAGCTGGCCACGACTGCTCAAAGCATGTCATGCGGAGTAACGAAATCGGGGTTCGGTATGGGCTCATCGGGATTGTCAGCAAAATGCTGATTGCACACGTCACCATCACGTGAAAGTTCACTGGTGCACACCAGTCAAGTCATCATGAGCATCGCACAAGTGTGCACAAGATTCATTCACTCTTCCTCTAGGCATTTCACGCCTCATCATCAATAGGCTGAAAGTGACGGACAGTGTGCTCGATTCTCAACCGGCACAGGCTGCAGACTTCAAAGTTGCGAAACCTTGAATTCAGTCTCTGCTGTTCGGTGATTTGCAACACCATTCGTGCATTCCTCAAACCACCACAGTTCCGATACACATGGATCCGGCGACCACTAATTGGTGCTACATACCACACCATGCCACCTTCTAATCGTAGGAACGCGGGCAAATGCACAACGACTTGCAGCTCCATCTGATCGTCCGGAATCACGATGTCCTCGATATCTCCTGCCAGCATAGCAGGTTCGGTCTCGACTCCCTCGAAGTCTCCATCCAGGGGCTCTGGTTCAAACGCACGGAGCGCGGCTGGCTCTTGGCTGTGCTCTGAACCATTCTCATCATGAGCATCTGCAATATCTTCTTCCTCTGACGACACTGTTTCAAGACTGGGCATTGAACCACTCGGGCTTGTGGGTTCAGACTCAGGCTGAGCGATTGAGGTCACGCGCTGCACCAGGCAAGTAAAAGCATCGGTATCAAGGACAATACCCAAAAGCCTATTAATCAGCAAGAAAATTGCACTCAAAAGGATTTGGGGCACGTTGATGGTAATCCACAATGACGCGAACTGCTCACGGCTGTAGCAGCCTTGCAGACTGCATGCAACAGCCACTGCTGTCACCACAAAAACCATCAAACTCATCCGGGTCGTACCATGGCATGGGCCCAAGACGTCTGACTCACATGCAGCCGCTGCATGCTCGATGCACAATGTGGCGATGACTATCTGGCGAATCATCTGCTTGGAGACACCTGACCCACCAGACTGCTTGATCCTACGCACTGCCATTCGTGCTGCGTCACGCTGGATGTGGTCGGCATACTCGCTTTCACCGACATATGCTCCGGCCTCTGCGTCATACACGGATAGCATGAATTTTAACATCAACGTCCTGCTTCGGGATAAACCCTTAGTGCCAAGATCTGCTACATTCACGGCCGTCGGCACCTTCAGGGTTATGAGCACCTGTGACTTCGTTAAGGACTGCTGCCAAAGTATCCTAGTGGAAAGATGACGGATCTTCCCCACTCCCTGCCTCCTTAAGGCTCCTAAGGCAGCGGTGCTGTCCACGTGGTGGAACACGGATGGCAAGGTCTGCATGCCATAGCAGAATCCTAAACATACACGTGCGAGCATAGCATCGCACACGACACTGGCTGATGCTAGCAACTCAGATTCCCCTGAGCTCAATGCAATGACGCGCTGGCTCCTGGAGCTGGTGCTCAAGACATTTCCGTTGACTGCCAGGACCCCTGATGATATCGACTTGCGTGTCACCTGGTTGCTTGCAATTGGCATCTGAGAACGACTCAAGAAGAGGCGCAACACCATGCTGCTCCCCGATCAAGCCAACACCATGCTCCTTCTTGCTCAGCATGATGCCTTCATTGCATGTTCCCTGCATGTACAACACAAGGTGACGCAAGCCTTTCATGCTCATTTGTGTCGGGCACGACATCTTCGAAGCCAACATGTTTATCGTGCACTGGCATTCTGCCAGATCATGGGCGAGATACAAGAGTATTCCCACGGCACTCCTGTAGACTTTCGTGCTGACTGGATCCAGGACTGGCGTGGGATCCAGCTTTTCAAGATCTGGCAACATGGGTGTCTTCTTGATGGCTTGAGTGCGAATTTGCAGCAACTCACACAGGCGTTCAAGATACTTGGGATGCGGTGTGATCAGCAACTGATCCGGCCCGATCAGATGCAACTTCCGCTTCAAGAATTCAATGCAATCCCCAGGATCGCACAACATCTCGAACTTGATCTTGTACTTGCTCAACAAGGCAGGCTTCAGAACTTTCTCTGCATACACGGTGTCAGTGAACGCCAGCACATCGTCTACGTGCACTTGCAACACGCTCTCCAGATTGGGACTTCGCAACAAGGTGGGATACGCTTCACACGCCTCAATCCCCAATTGGCTTTCTAGGAACTTCGTGAAGTCAGTGTACCACCTCTCGCTGCCGTCCTGTTGACCGGGTAGCACCTTTCCCAAGGCGTAGACGGTTTCGGTACCGTCGGGGGCACGATGCGTCACCAGCGTAGGTGTTACTTGATCCACCGTTAAAAACGCATCTGATATGTCTATGGCTACCAAACACTTCCCCGGCCGATCACTTGTGGCAAACAAGATTGGCAACAACCTATGCAACATGGAACTTGAAGCAGGTGCAAAGGTGTCGGACCTTTCCGAAAGCCAGGCATACTCTCGGGCTACATAGCGGGCACGCCTCAACCACACTTTTGCACCCTCAACCTGCTTTGCTCTCCAGTCATACACCATGCGGGTCGAGAGCCTTTTCACTTGATCATGCGGCAAGTGCCCCAGGCACTCAGGGTTCAAGAGAACACCAAGCTTCTGCAACCTCAGTATCTCCACGGTTTCAGCAACTGCATCCAATGCTGCGAGCTCATCTGGCAACATGCTCGGCTCGTCGTCACTTTCTCGTGGAAATATGAGCTTTTGCTCTAGCTCACTCAGTTCAACTGACGCATCATCCTGTGGCTCATCGGCGAACTCAGCCTCCTCCAAGGATTCGATGATGTCTTCATCAAAACACAGCTCAGGGCTCTCATCCTCATGCTCATACACCATGTTCTTTTGACCATCTGACCAGGGTTGGTCAGCAACGCGGCACACAGAGGGCAAGTCGGGCAAGCATATCAACCTTGACACTACCCCGCCATGGGCTGGCGGCGATGGCTCCAGGTTTCCCGGCACCACTTCATTCACACCATCACGCATGCTTGGCGCATGGGAATGCGCTACGGCCGTGGCGAATGAATCCATGGTCACATCACTCGCTCCAACCGTTGAAGCCGCTGATGAGCTGGTGGGATCAGATGCTGCGACATCCTGTGGCGATGCTGGGACGATTGGAACGGGGGCAATGGCATCAGGCAAGGCAATTTGCTCGGGCACTGGAGGTGCAATCCTCTTTGCAAGCACTAACCTAGAACCCAAGCTACTCAACCCATGCTCCCAGACGTCTGTCTCAACACTTGACGCAAGCTCAACGTTCCAATGGTCCTTAGGACTGAGCCTGCGAACGCTCCGGGTCACATACACGCCTTGCGATGTGCCGATGATGTGGACGTCGTTTCGGCTTGACTTTCCAAGCCACACTCCTTTGACCCATCGTGCGGAAGCTTTGGCATCTGACTGAAGATATCCGTACACTTGCTCGCCATACTTGCATATCTTCCCTTTGTACGTGCCTGAAGTCACATGCTCAAAAGCCGTTTGGTTCTGGATCACTCTGAACCGATTCATGACCCAACAGGCATGCACAACACTCCACTGGAAGATCGGATGGGCAACCTTGAAGACTTCGCCAACTCCTGCACCCTCTTCAAGCTGTGACACAAGCACACATGCAGTCTGACGCACTTGCTTCAATGCTTGCTCAACGGCTCCATTGCTTTGGTGACTTTCAATGGGGCTCGTTTCATCGGATACGCCAATGTTCAAACCTCTGAGGGCTTTCTGCAAGTGGTGAACGAAGCTCAGCATCGCAGGTTCGTTGTCGGATCTAATCCGCACATCACTGTGGCCCAGCCAACACACGAAGCGAGCCGCCTCGGTAACCAAGAAGGACAAAGATGATCCTCCCTTCTTGGGTGTGGGAACCGCAAACACAGCCTTGCTAGCACGGTCCTGCCCAAACAGCACGGTGAGCTTTGACTCACCATCGTCAGGCACACTGCTGAGGACATTGTCGCCCTTCCGGCTCAGGTATCCAAAATCAAAGCTCACCACTGCATTCGGGGCATTCGAATGGTTGCCTGTCACATGGGCATCCTGCCTTGCACGATGCTTCAAGCAAACTTCACACCAAGGCTGATATGGCTCATGAGTGAGCGAGTGTTGATCTCGCTCTGACGCAGACGGTTCATGTGGCGCAGTCGGGGCTGATGCATTGCGCTCACGGGATGTTGACAAATTGTGCTCAACATGCTTGTCTAGCAATAGATCCTGGCTATGCACATGATTGCAGAGCCGCTTCCAGCATTGTCCCCTGTTACCTGTCTTACTGAGCCCCAGGCTCTCACAGGCTGCACGCAGAACAATCAAGGATGAGTTGCTGTCCACTTGAACACCCTCGATCAGCAACGTGTCTGGCGGCAATCCAACTGCACGATCCTCAACTGGCGCCTCAGCATGTTCCGGATCCATCGGGACATCATGCGCATCACCCTCAGGTGCGATCTGACCATCAGACGCTTCAGCTTGCACCGTGTCAAATCCAAGCTGACTCAAAGTGAGTGATGCATCATTGTAGGCGAACGTTAGCATGCTGCGCACCGTGCGCGGGTCAGAAACTGGCCCAGCCAGACCCCCATTAGCAGCTAACGATCCCACATCTTCTGCGTATTCTTCAAGAAACCACTTGCCTGCTCTCTCACACAAGGTTGTACGCTTCCAAAGCACTTCAGTGAACGGGGCCAGTGTGGTGTCAACGAAATTATTGGCATGCGACTTCAGTACGTAGCACTCAGGGCCAACACGAGTCCATCCCCGCCTTGCATCCATTGATGTGAGGCCCTCCTGCAATGTGACCTCAACTGCACGAATGCTTGGACCTGATGCACACACGGTGATGTCAGTTGTATTGGAAATAGGGCAGACGGACTGAGTGGAGCTTGATCCCTGCGGATCACACACTGCAACACCTCCTCCATTGGGTATTTCAACACCTGCTGGTGTCCTGAAGCACGGGGACTGAGTGGAGCTTGATCCCTGGGGATCACACAGTGCAACACCTTCTCCACTAGGCATGCCTCGCATTGAGCCTCGAACACGATTCATGGCTCCACCGGTGGCCTTGCAACTCAAGCCTTTCGCCTCGCTCTGACTCAGCAAGCGGATGGAACCTTGTGCACAGAACGACTGATGCCTGTACCCAATCGGAATGCTCGTACTTGCATCCGTCAAGCAAATGCCTTCACTCTCAGGCTTCACGAACCATCCAGCCTTCGCAAGCTTCCCTAGGCAAACCAAAGGACTGGTAACCCCTGACACCACGAACCTCTCGTAGAACTTCAGTGGTCCTATGGTGACTTCAGCAATCCTCGTGTCTTGCACGCGTAGGGGATGACCCTGTGCATCAGTGTACTGGACGGATCGGGCATGGGGATCGGACACTCCTGCATTTGCGAAGGACAAGGGAAGAGCAGAGACATCTGCTCCAGAGTCCAGTATGATGTCCACATTCCCTGACTGCAACACCTCAGGCACTTCTCGCACATGCTGATGCTGACACGTCAACATGCGAATTGCACAATCATCGGGCCAGTAGCCTGCTGCCACCTCATCTTGCATTCCGGACTCAAGATCACCCTCTGAAAGGTCATAAATCGTGAGATTCACTCGATCATCGTCATCCATGGTGTAGGCTTGCGCGCCTGAGAACGACACTCTCCGGACTGCGGCACTCTTGGCATTGGGATTCAAGGACGCTTGACTCAGGGCACTCAAGGACGATTGACTCGGGGCATTCATATGGGAGCTTGAAGAAGATGCAGCTTCAGCTTGGGCGATTTGCTTCAGCTGGGGGCAATCACGCTTCCAGTGGCCGGATTGGCCACAGTGCAGGCATGCGTCACGACCCTTGCCTTGGCCTGGTCCACCTGATGCACCCTGCTTACCCCCATTTTTCTTACCCTTCTTAACTCCCTTAGGCCCTCCTTGACCCTTTTGGTGATCCTTGCCTCCTCGTTTGCCTGCACCCCATTGACCCCTGCCACCTTTGCTGCCTCTGCCCTTTTTGCCATTTTTACCATCCCCATACTTGCCGTGCTTACCATACTTACCATGTTTGCCACCCTTAGTCTCTTCATTAACCCGACTTATGTCCATTGGCACTGGACCATTCGGATCAGCTGCATTGCTGGTTCCCAGCTCAAGGTGAACCCTGCTGTTCGACCAGGTGGTGGTCACGGACTCGTAGTTCATCACGGCCTCACGTATGGAGTCATATGTCGAAGATTCGGTCATTTGCAACTGTATGTGTTGACGTAGGTGATTGGGCAACACACGCACAAGCACACCCATCTGCACGTCAGCGGCTATTGCAGATCCAGATACCTTACGGTACTCATCCGACACCCTTTCTAGAGCATTGACTTGCTCTCGGAAGCTTTTGTCTTTGGTGAAGGCTGGATATGACATGTAGGCACTGAGGAGTGCCAGGCTGCGTGCACGTGTGCGTGGGGCGTATACCGACTGCAGCTGCCTCCACAGCTCGAAGCCGTTCTGCTCAGGTATGGATCTTAACATGACAAGCGGGCGACCCTTGAGCAACCCTGAAAGGATCGCGTAAAGGCGTCGGGCACGGGGCTTGGTTGACTCAACCATGTCAGCGATGGTCACCACCACATGCGGACTGGTCTCTATGGTGGCAAGCTCCTCACCGTATTCAGGTTCTGCATAGATAAGCCATGATTTGAAGGAATGAGCGAACTCTTGCCATTTGGCAACGTCACTCTCATGTGAATCATTTCCCCCAAAACCTTCAGGATAACGCAACACCTTTGATGCATCACTGTAGCCAGCAAACTGCCTGTCGCTTGCAGCACGCTGCGTAGCGGAGGACATTTGTTGCACCGCCTGTGCTGCACTATGTGCTGCCTGGCTGGCCGCTTGGATCAATGCAGCAACCTGACTCGGATCTGCGAGAACTACCTGGGGCTGTCCTTGCTGCACACCATCACTCGCTCCAATCTGGTGCATCTGAACATCTGGACCCGCTCCGGTCGGTGCGCCTGCTTCTGCTCCGGTCTGACCTTGACCGGCAAGTTGGGCTTGTTGCTGAGCTTGCTGGGCTTGGTGGGCTGCCTGCTGCTGGGCAGCGTGCATTGCGGCTTGCGGATCCATCGCTGGAATGCTCAGGCTTAGGGTTCGTAGGGGCTTCGGCACTTAGGGAACCACCTAGGGTACCCCCAATGGGCCTACCTAACCCACAACCTGCACGCTCTGCTGACTCCTGCGAGTCACACACGCTGGCTGTTGGCTCAAGATCAATCACAGTCTCAAGAGAGGAACACAAGGGCTGATTGAACCGGCACTCACCAACAGGTTGGTATGGTGAGTCGCGTAGGATCACAAACACAGCGCACAAGAAAGGCTCAAGTAGACTATCTTCAGCACTCAAGACTCTGCAGCCGTATGCAATGATCTTCGCTGCTGACTCGATCTGCTCAAGCTGGTCTTTGACACTCTTCCTCTTCTGCAGCTGCCGTCTCTCAAAGCTCAACTGACTCAACGTGGGTGTTTTCTCTTTACCCACTTGAAGCTCGATGTACCACTCGATGACAGCAGCTCTCAGTTTACGAAGGGTTGCAGGTCTATCCCAGTACAAAGGATCACACGCACCTTGGAACGGCAACGCCGTGATGTCAAGAGCACGGAGGGCTATGGCTCAAAGCTACAGCTACCCCAGGCCCAACCTACACTACAGCAGATAGGTTCCAGTCTGCACTCAGAGCACCGACACCAAGGAAACCAAAGGAGTCCCTGGTCAGTAGTGCTCCGCTACCATGAGAATTTTCCTGATACTTTCAGACGCCTGCCGGGATCACAACATACTGCACTGGAGATCACAACACAACATGACTTCACTACCAAAACACATGTGGCCCAACATGTAAAACGGGCGCACCAAAATGTGCCCATGTAGCTATGTACCAACTTTTGCAGGTCTGCTAAGTCCAGACGGAGCTTGCGCTCGAGAATCAGCCCAAGCAGCCGACAGTCGGCCGAGGGAATCAGTTTCGCTTGGGCTCGACACGAGCAGCAGTCTGAGCCACGACTCTGTCCGTAGCTAAACCAAGGCCTATCCCACACAGCAAATGGGGGGACCGATCCGGGCAGGGACACTGGCGGCTGCATGTTGACCGCTATTTCCTTACATTCACCCATGTCATAGGGCATGCTGCAAGAGGTGTTTGCAGCCAAGATGGCCGGGTCGGAAGTTTCAGCGACTGACACAGGCGACGCACCCGTGTCAGACGAGCCTTCAGGAGTATGGATGAAGGAAGGTGCTTACGCAAGAGTGCACAAAGGATTTAATGGCAGCCACACTGGCCACACCACGCTAGGCCACGGAGGCGACCAGGAAGCAAGACCTTGGCACAGGTGCAACATACCAAGTACAGGGCTGGCCTAGGGAGGCACGCTGACATCAGCAGTGATGGATTAACGGGAATCGCACCGCGGAACAAGATAAGAACGGTCGAGACAGCTTGCTGCAACTACAAGTCACAGGGGCACCCAATGAGGGAGACCGCATTGCTCCAAACTTGTTGTTCCTTTTGCTCGAGGAGGTCGAGGGCGTCGTTCAGGATGCTAGGTCGCCTGGGCACAGCATTCCTGGCATGTATTACCAAGCTAGAGCACATGACACTCAACGAAGCTACATGGCGCTACACAGCAGGATTCCACATGGGAGCTACCTGAAGATCATACGCAGTCAGAGCGTCATGCACTCATGAACATCACTTTGAGCCATCATCCTTGCATGAGCATATGTTGTCCAATTGGACATACCTGGCACCATGGCCATGTTGTATGACAGCCCCTTGGCTCATACATGGGCACCATGTGCCACCACATGAGACCTTCATAGCCCATAGGCTGAGCAGACATTGCTCGTCTCATGCTACCTGTAACATGCACAAATACATGTGTGAGCACAGGCTCAAGTCCTCTTTTCCTTCTTTCGTTGCGAACCGCATGCTTGTCACCAGCTTGGCTCGTCCTTGCTTCAAGGCAACATTACGCCGCCCATGGAACATGGGTTGCAGATATCGCAAACACATTTGCATTGTGGCCGGCTCACGCACAAGGCCCCGTAACGTGATCGCGCGTTAAAGCGGAAAGACAACTGCGGGCATTGAAATTATGAGCACGGAGAAACATCTGGAGCCGCTCGCTGGCGGTGGGGCCCACTAGCCTGGTAAGGAGGGCCCAGTAGGACCCCATTTTTCGTGGCCCCAAAAGGCATGCCTGGGGCACTGGGAGGCAACAGTTGGCATCGAGGATGATGAGATGGAAAGCCTCCGCCACCAGGCTGCTGCGCACCTGTTGCAGGGAGACTTCATCCTGGAAGTTGAAACCAGGTGGGACCCTTAGGCCCCATTGCTTCTCCCCGAGATCCCTGCACTTAATCCCGGCAATGGTGGCCCGGAGGACGATACGACAACATTGAAGAGCCAGGGAGATGCATGCAGCGGGAGGCAGGGCCGGGCCCTCCAACATGGCAGTCAGTGGGACTACGCGTTCCGCAATGACATAATGCGCTTGGCACAAACCATCCTCACCAAGGGATACCCAAATGGAGCCGCTGTCGAAGACGCGGGCAAAGGCTGCAGGACACGCGGCAGCGCTTCGGACTTCGTTGACATTGTCGGCATCACTCTCCGCCAGCTTTAACACCAGGCTTGCAACAGGCTCCTCTCCTTTCAGGTGATACACTTTGCGGAACCCACCTTTGAGCTCCGGGGCCCTGCTAGACCCCAAAACCGACAGGTTCCGTCCATTCACGTCTAGGACGAGACGAAGGTTATCAGGGAACATATCATGGCCCGTCAAAAACCCTGATGCACGCAAGAGCTTTATTGATGGCCATGCCTCGACGTTGCTGGGAGTTGCGTCTTGTGTGACACCCTGATCCGGAGAAGGAGAGACGGCGGGGCCACTGCGCTGGCTGGCCAAGCAATTTCCGCACATGTCAAAGTCACAAACCCTGCACCCCCAAAGCAAACGCCGTGTGGAGAACTCCCTTTTGCACACACTGCACCACCAATTTGGCTCAGGTGACCCAAAGGTGAACAACGGATGCCCGGAGGGACACGTGGGTCGAGCATCAAGTCTGGCCAGAAAGGCCTCTGCACTTTCCGGAGTGAGAGTGACGCCTTCCTTCAGAAGAGGCGGAGCCACTTGAACGGCTGACCCCCTCCGGTTCACACCTCTTCCGCTTAGGAGTTGGCGGACGGGGCGGCAGTGGCTGACCACCAGGAAGCCGGGCTTCTGATGCGCCATGTGCATTGTCCAGGACCAAGACCTTAGTTTTCTCATCACAAGGAGGGGTTCCGGCTTGCTTAGAGCAGGCTTCGGCCCTTCGGGGAATGGAGCCTGGTCCTGTGAAGATAGGCCGCGAACTTATGGGGGTTACCACGCGTAGCTCGCCTTGCGGCAACCCCTTTTTGGGCGAACCTGGAACACCTGCAGGCCCCATGAAGACTCGCCTTGGTCCTGGTCGGGCCTTGTCACCCAGAGTGCCAGCGGCCGCACCCCCAGGGCGAGGGGTGAGCACAAGGTTGTCACCTGCAGGGGCCCCAAGCGGCGAGCGGGAAGCCTGCTGCGCAGATGCCTTAGAACCACAAGTGGATTGGTTTGTGGGCTCAGGGTTGGTCCCCTCTGCATTGGATGCAGTGCTTTGGGCTTCAGCCCCAAAATCACTGGAGCGAAAGCTGTGAGGAGCCGAAACTGGCCTACCAGGGGCATCCAGCTTCATAGGGAATTCCGGCCGCACCTCAGGAAGCGGCACTCGCACAGTTTCAGCATCCGAACTGCTAGGGGCAGGGCTAACCTCACTCCTCAAGTAATTCTGCTGTTTGGCAACAGATACAGGTGGCATGCGTCGGCCACCAGGCTTGGGAACCACCTCAGAGTGCGCCCCATCCTTCGCATGCATCACGCTTGGGGGAGCTTCGGAGACACCAAGAAGGAAGGGCGTTGCGTCTCTTGCACCGACAGCATGACGCACTGGATACCCACGCTCATCCACTGGTTCATGGCATGAAGTCATGACATGGCTAAGACGGGGCACACGTGGTTGAGCATGCTGAAGCGCTATAAGCTTATCGGACTTGCGTGGCCGTTCAGCAGGACCAGGGAGAGCACTCGAGTCAACATCTTCGCTCAGACAGACCCCGACACGTCCAGGTGCACACTGTTCCGTTTCGCAAGGGGACTCAGCTTCCCCGCTCGGCACAGCCCCACCATCTTTGGTCGCGCACGATGCATCCATATGCTGAACAAAAGGAACGGACCCCACGTGCACATTATCATTATCAATTAAAACTTGGCCATCAGGTTTCTCAGGCACCAAATCTTCGGCTTCACTCCCACGTAGCGTTGCACCAGACTGTGATGCCAAGGAAGGGCCCAAATTGACATGAGACCATACCGGACTCTCAACAGGCACGCAATGCCCGGATCCTGAGGCCATGGGTTGGCCTTCAGGTTTCTCAAACCCCAAATCAACGGGATCACTCCCACGTAGCGCAACATGAGACTGTGATGATTGGGGAGTGTCCATTCCTGCAGGTGCCTCGGTAGCCTGGCAGCTAGGCCCACCAAGCTCAGTACTCGCAGCCTTTGAGGTTTGGATGTCAGGTTTACTGCCAGCCAACTCATCACTTTTGGCTGCGGATTGCCCCTTGTTCCCCCCCTTAACCGGAAGAGAAGGCCCGGGGAGCCCCTTGCGGAAGCGCTTGACCACACAGACAGGGGCGACGCCAGGCACCGGGGCAGGTGCGGGCGGCGCTTCACAAGGGTCAGGGCCCTCGGGAGTCGCCATTCAGCGGTCGTAGACTGCCAGATACCACGCAATCACACAGTGCGCGCAAAGGTGGTTGTGATTGATGCGGTACCGGATACAACCGTTGCGGCCGCACTAGCCCGCATGAGCCCCTTAATGGCAGCCCAGTGAGCAGTGGCTGCGTCATACCACTCATTTCGGGGACGTTTTGGCCCATGCTTGGTGGGTGTGGTGCTGATCCCTTTCCAATGCACATCGAAGATGACTGGCAGTCGGAAAGGGGCTGAGACATCCACTTCTCGCAAAGCTGCAAGGTCAGTGGTTCGCAGCT